GGAAAGGAAAGGAAAGGAAAGGAAAGGAAAGGAAAGACTGATGTTTGAAAACACCTGGAAAGGAAAGGAAAGGAAAGGAAAGGAAAGGAAAGGAAAGCTGAGCCCACTGAACAAGGAGGAAAGGAAAGGAAAGGAAAGGAAAGGAAAGGAAAGGAAAGGGAGGATTCCAGATCTCCAAGGAAAGGAAAGGAAAGGAAAGGAAAGGAAAGGAAAGGAAAGAGTCACCTGAAATGTTGCAGGGAAAGGAAAGGAAAGGAAAGGAAAGGAAAGGAAAGGAAAGAGCCAACCCGGTTCAGAGTCGGAAAGGAAAGGAAAGGAAAGGAAAGGAAAGGAAAGGAAAGAGACTCTGCCTCCCATTTCCCCAAATGTCACTTTGACATTGGGAAAAGCAATGGCCTATCTACTCAGCAGGAAAACACAGCAGTAAAATTTCACTTTACAAAATGTACGTACACATACACACATGCTCCTACAGACACCTGAGCAGCAAAGTGACCCAGCACACAGTTGCAAACACAACAGACATGATGAACACACACCCAAGGGAAAGGAAAGGAAAGGAAAGGAAAGGAAAGGAAAGGAAAGATGTATATGCAACACACACAGGAAAGGAAAGGAAAGGAAAGGAAAGGAAAGGAAAGGAAAGATACACAAAGATCAACCCCTAAATATACATGCATACAGAAACACATAGATTCACACAAAAGGGCACTCGGATACAAAAATACTCAGACAGAGAAACACTCAAGACACACACAGAAGAGTCCAAAAGACATTCCCCCCCATTGGGAAAGGAAAGGAAAGGAAAGGAAAGGAAAGGAAAGGAAAGGTTGGGTAAAAACAACAACAGGAAAGGAAAGGAAAGGAAAGGAAAGGAAAGGAAAGGAAAGAAGCTTAGGGTAATTCCCTGGTGGGCTTAGCCTGAGGGATGGGTGACAAAGGGTGAGCAGGATGGGCCCAAACTCCCCTGCGGAAAGGAAAGGAAAGGAAAGGAAAGGAAAGGAAAGGAAAGAAGGAGGTGAGACCCACCGGGGAAAGGAAAGGAAAGGAAAGGAAAGGAAAGGAAAGGAAAGAGGGGCTGGGGCGGGTTCCTGGAAAGGAAAGGAAAGGAAAGGAAAGGAAAGGAAAGGAAAGAGTTAACCAAGAGTAACTTGGGAAAGGAAAGGAAAGGAAAGGAAAGGAAAGGAAAGGAAAGCACAGACCGGCATTTCGTTGGGAAAGGAAAGGAAAGGAAAGGAAAGGAAAGGAAAGGAAAGTAAAAATTCACATCTTGGGGGGAAAGGAAAGGAAAGGAAAGGAAAGGAAAGGAAAGGAAAGGGTCATGATCCCAGGGTCCTGGAAAGGAAAGGAAAGGAAAGGAAAGGAAAGGAAAGGAAAGCTGCTTCTCCCTCTCCTACTGGAAAGGAAAGGAAAGGAAAGGAAAGGAAAGGAAAGGAAAGTAAATAAAATCTTTAAAAAAGGAAAGGAAAGGAAAGGAAAGGAAAGGAAAGGAAAGGAAAGTTCAGCATCTGCCTTTGGCTGGAAAGGAAAGGAAAGGAAAGGAAAGGAAAGGAAAGGAAAGGGCTCCCTGCTCGGTGGGAAGGAAAGGAAAGGAAAGGAAAGGAAAGGAAAGGAAAGGAAAGTCTCTCACTGTCTCTCTCTCGGAAAGGAAAGGAAAGGAAAGGAAAGGAAAGGAAAGGAAAGAATTCACATCTTTGAATATTGGAAAGGAAAGGAAAGGAAAGGAAAGGAAAGGAAAGGAAAGTATTTAACTGCTTATTTAAAGGAAAGGAAAGGAAAGGAAAGGAAAGGAAAGGAAAGGAAAGAATTTAAGTAAATGCCAAAAGGAAAGGAAAGGAAAGGAAAGGAAAGGAAAGGAAAGGAAAGATATCGACCCTATTTCTCTCGGAAAGGAAAGGAAAGGAAAGGAAAGGAAAGGAAAGGAAAGCCTGAGCCAGGGCTCCTGGGGGAAAGGAAAGGAAAGGAAAGGAAAGGAAAGGAAAGGAAAGGCACCACCATGAGCCACCTGGGAAAGGAAAGGAAAGGAAAGGAAAGGAAAGGAAAGGAAAGCTCTCCCTCTCTCAGGAAAAGGAAAGGAAAGGAAAGGAAAGGAAAGGAAAGGAAAGGAAAGACCATGTCTGCCCTTTGCTCCCAGGCTACAGGAACCAATTGCTCCAGGCAGCCATGGGAGGGAGTCCACAGGGAGAAGCCCCATGCCCTCCGTACCACCCCCCTACCCTCGCCTGTCCACCCAGCTGTTCTGTGGCCGGGGCGGAAAGGAAAGGAAAGGAAAGGAAAGGAAAGGAAAGGAAAGGGTGAGGCCACTGTTCTACGGGAAAGGAAAGGAAAGGAAAGGAAAGGAAAGGAAAGGAAAGCTGGGATGGCCCATCAGCAGGGAAAGGAAAGGAAAGGAAAGGAAAGGAAAGGAAAGGAAAGATCAAAAATCCAAGACGTGGGGAAAGGAAAGGAAAGGAAAGGAAAGGAAAGGAAAGGAAAGAGGAATAAGATGCTTTACTAGGAAAGGAAAGGAAAGGAAAGGAAAGGAAAGGAAAGGAAAGGGGACAATAGCAAGACTCATGGAAAGGAAAGGAAAGGAAAGGAAAGGAAAGGAAAGGAAAGTGGAGGTGCGGCAGGCAGGTGGAAAGGAAAGGAAAGGAAAGGAAAGGAAAGGAAAGGAAAGAAGGCACGAGGGGACCAAGTCAAGGTGCTGGCAGCCAGGGTGCGTGGGAGGCAGGGGACCGAGCGGCACCCAGAGCCCAGGGGAAAGGAAAGGAAAGGAAAGGAAAGGAAAGGAAAGGAAAGCCGGGGCCCAAAGTCATACCGGAAAGGAAAGGAAAGGAAAGGAAAGGAAAGGAAAGGAAAGCAGCAGAGCAACCCCTGAGGGGAAAGGAAAGGAAAGGAAAGGAAAGGAAAGGAAAGGAAAGGACCACAGGCAGGCCAGGGGGGAAAGGAAAGGAAAGGAAAGGAAAGGAAAGGAAAGGAAAGGTGCATCGGTGCATTGGCCAGGAAAGGAAAGGAAAGGAAAGGAAAGGAAAGGAAAGGAAAGTGCGGCGGGGGGCAGGCTCTGGAAAGGAAAGGAAAGGAAAGGAAAGGAAAGGAAAGGAAAGCCATCTGGACTGGACTACAGGGAAAGGAAAGGAAAGGAAAGGAAAGGAAAGGAAAGGAAAGGCTAAGGCAGTCCCTGGCTCGGAAAGGAAAGGAAAGGAAAGGAAAGGAAAGGAAAGGAAAGTTGGCAGAGCACAGCCTCCTGGAAAGGAAAGGAAAGGAAAGGAAAGGAAAGGAAAGGAAAGGGAACCAGAGGCTGAGGTCCGGAAAGGAAAGGAAAGGAAAGGAAAGGAAAGGAAAGGAAAGCCACGGCCCACTGACTGTGAGGAAAGGAAAGGAAAGGAAAGGAAAGGAAAGGAAAGGAAAGGGGGAGTGGCCAGCTGAGCTGGAAAGGAAAGGAAAGGAAAGGAAAGGAAAGGAAAGGAAAGCACACCTGTTCCTGGGGTGCGGAAAGGAAAGGAAAGGAAAGGAAAGGAAAGGAAAGGAAAGGGCAAAGAACCTGCAACGCAGGAAAGGAAAGGAAAGGAAAGGAAAGGAAAGGAAAGGAAAGCCGGCCCACTGCACAGAGATGGAAAGGAAAGGAAAGGAAAGGAAAGGAAAGGAAAGGAAAGATGTGCTTGTGAACAAGTGAGGAAAGGAAAGGAAAGGAAAGGAAAGGAAAGGAAAGGAAAGGCAGAGCAGGATCCTGCTTCGGAAAGGAAAGGAAAGGAAAGGAAAGGAAAGGAAAGGAAAGCTGAGGCTCAGAGGGCACGCGGAAAGGAAAGGAAAGGAAAGGAAAGGAAAGGAAAGGAAAGTCCCCACGAGGCAGAGACCTAGCGGAGGCTGGAGGGGACAGCCCACAGGAACACAGATGTTGGTGCTGGTCGAGGCAGGTGAGCCAGGCAGCAGCACCTCGGCAGGGCTGGGGGACCAAGGGAGGCTGGGCCCACGCCTTCCGGAAAGGAAAGGAAAGGAAAGGAAAGGAAAGGAAAGGAAAGCAGCATTTCAAAGAGCGAGCGGAAAGGAAAGGAAAGGAAAGGAAAGGAAAGGAAAGGAAAGTTGAGCAATGAGAAGCAAACGGAAAGGAAAGGAAAGGAAAGGAAAGGAAAGGAAAGGAAAGGCGATACATATTTATGAGCTGGAAAGGAAAGGAAAGGAAAGGAAAGGAAAGGAAAGGAAAGAACTCCCTGTGGCTCAGGCTGGAAAGGAAAGGAAAGGAAAGGAAAGGAAAGGAAAGGAAAGCCACCAAAGGACGACAGGATGGAAAGGAAAGGAAAGGAAAGGAAAGGAAAGGAAAGGAAAGTGGAGACCCAGGAGCAAGGCGGAAAGGAAAGGAAAGGAAAGGAAAGGAAAGGAAAGGAAAGCCCCTCAAGGGTTCCTCTGCGGAAAGGAAAGGAAAGGAAAGGAAAGGAAAGGAAAGGAAAGAGTCCCCAGCCGGCCCAGAGGGAAAGGAAAGGAAAGGAAAGGAAAGGAAAGGAAAGGAAAGTATGAGGGGGACAAGGAGGGGGAAAGGAAAGGAAAGGAAAGGAAAGGAAAGGAAAGGAAAGGAGAGGCCCAGGAGGGGGAGGGAAAGGAAAGGAAAGGAAAGGAAAGGAAAGGAAAGGAAAGAGGGCAGGTAAGGGGGTCGCTCTCTGAGACTGGGGCAACAGCGGACTCAGGCTGGGAGAAGTCAGTGCCAGGACTGAGGAGGGAAAGGAAAGGAAAGGAAAGGAAAGGAAAGGAAAGGAAAGCTCTAGGAGAGTAGGCCCCCGGAAAGGAAAGGAAAGGAAAGGAAAGGAAAGGAAAGGAAAGATCATGGAGCTCAACAGAGAGGAAAGGAAAGGAAAGGAAAGGAAAGGAAAGGAAAGGAAAGCATTTCCTCATTATACCCAAGGAAAGGAAAGGAAAGGAAAGGAAAGGAAAGGAAAGGAAAGTCTAGCTTGCAGACAGGGCAGGAAAGGAAAGGAAAGGAAAGGAAAGGAAAGGAAAGGAAAGATTCCAGGGGCCCCAGGACTCACTTGCTGATGCCCTCAAAGGAGGCTTCCCTGCAGATACTGCCGCTGTCCGTGTTGACGCCACGCTGTAGAGACAGAGGGAGCATGAAGGGTGGGGCAGGCACACAGGGTCCCCACCGCCTACAGGGGAGGGCCCGCCTCCTCCATCCAGCCTCAGGACTGAGGAAGAACCTGGAGCCCCCACCCCTGCCCAGCAAACATATCCCTTCCTGCCGTTCAGGTAACTCCCAGCCAAGCCTGCCCTGGAAAGGAAAGGAAAGGAAAGGAAAGGAAAGGAAAGGAAAGGCCTGAACCTGGAGGAAAGGGGAAAGGAAAGGAAAGGAAAGGAAAGGAAAGGAAAGGAAAGCTCCCTCAGATCACTTTGCTGGAAAGGAAAGGAAAGGAAAGGAAAGGAAAGGAAAGGAAAGACACACTCCCCACTGACGGGGGAAAGGAAAGGAAAGGAAAGGAAAGGAAAGGAAAGGAAAGGGTAGGACCCGACTCCGGCGGGAAAGGAAAGGAAAGGAAAGGAAAGGAAAGGAAAGGAAAGCCCTGTCCTTTCCCTGACCGGGAGGAGAGTGGAATTCAGACAAGAAAGGAAACAAAAAGGACTCAGAGAAAAGCGTGCCATCCCCAGAGAGGCAAGGCGTTCCGAAGCGCCCTTCTTCCTCAAGAACAGCAGGCCAACGCTGGGAAAGGAAAGGAAAGGAAAGGAAAGGAAAGGAAAGGAAAGCACAATCATCTCACGTAATCGGAAAGGAAAGGAAAGGAAAGGAAAGGAAAGGAAAGGAAAGCCATGTGAAGTGCTTTAAAAGGAAAGGAAAGGAAAGGAAAGGAAAGGAAAGGAAAGGAAAGCGAGAGAAAAGGGTCATTTTGGAAAGGAAAGGAAAGGAAAGGAAAGGAAAGGAAAGGAAAGCCCAAGGTCAAAAAAGTGCAGGAAAGGAAAGGAAAGGAAAGGAAAGGAAAGGAAAGGAAAGCCCCCACAGCCCTATTTAAGGGAAAGGAAAGGAAAGGAAAGGAAAGGAAAGGAAAGGAAAGGTGGCAGGTCATTCAGTGTAGGAAAGGAAAGGAAAGGAAAGGAAAGGAAAGGAAAGGAAAGAGACAGGCACCACAGGTGTGGGAAAGGAAAGGAAAGGAAAGGAAAGGAAAGGAAAGGAAAGAGCACATTGATATTCTACATGGAAAGGAAAGGAAAGGAAAGGAAAGGAAAGGAAAGGAAAGCAGCTGGGTTTTAACCCTTGGGAAAGGAAAGGAAAGGAAAGGAAAGGAAAGGAAAGGAAAGGGGACACTGGAGGATGGAGGGGAAAGGAAAGGAAAGGAAAGGAAAGGAAAGGAAAGGAAAGGCTACGTGTTGCCCAATGACGGAAAGGAAAGGAAAGGAAAGGAAAGGAAAGGAAAGGAAAGCCCTAAAACCCTTCCCCGTAGGAAAGGAAAGGAAAGGAAAGGAAAGGAAAGGAAAGGAAAGGGACAGAGGGGCTCTGTGACGGAAAGGAAAGGAAAGGAAAGGAAAGGAAAGGAAAGGAAAGACTTTAGAGCAATCGCAAAGACATCTGATGGAGATGATACACCACCATGACTTAACAATATCAGCTCACATTTATGGAGCTGGAAAGGAAAGGAAAGGAAAGGAAAGGAAAGGAAAGGAAAGCAGATGAGACCGAGGCTCATGGAAAGGAAAGGAAAGGAAAGGAAAGGAAAGGAAAGGAAAGGCAGACAGGGATTCACACCTGGAAAGGAAAGGAAAGGAAAGGAAAGGAAAGGAAAGGAAAGCCCACATACATCCCCAGGCTGGAAAGGAAAGGAAAGGAAAGGAAAGGAAAGGAAAGGAAAGTCTGTCCATCTGCCACTCCCGGAAAGGAAAGGAAAGGAAAGGAAAGGAAAGGAAAGGAAAGCAACAGCCTCCTGTCCCCAGGGAAAGGAAAGGAAAGGAAAGGAAAGGAAAGGAAAGGAAAGTGTGTGGAGGAAGCTTCCCCGGAAAGGAAAGGAAAGGAAAGGAAAGGAAAGGAAAGGAAAGATCCCTCCTCCACCTTGACCGGAAAGGAAAGGAAAGGAAAGGAAAGGAAAGGAAAGGAAAGCAACCCCACGAATGAGCGTGGGAAAGGAAAGGAAAGGAAAGGAAAGGAAAGGAAAGGAAAGGCCTAGAATGCCTCCTCCCCGGAAAGGAAAGGAAAGGAAAGGAAAGGAAAGGAAAGGAAAGACTCCCTCATCTCCTGCCCCGGAAAGGAAAGGAAAGGAAAGGAAAGGAAAGGAAAGGAAAGCATCTGTACCCGAGAGAGCCGGAAAGGAAAGGAAAGGAAAGGAAAGGAAAGGAAAGGAAAGACGCCTCAGTCTACCCTGCAGGAAAGGAAAGGAAAGGAAAGGAAAGGAAAGGAAAGGAAAGCTCTTTCACATCCTGACATGGGAAAGGAAAGGAAAGGAAAGGAAAGGAAAGGAAAGGAAAGTTTCCTGAGCTATCACTGACGGAAAGGAAAGGAAAGGAAAGGAAAGGAAAGGAAAGGAAAGGTTTTGACATATGTATGTACGGAAAGGAAAGGAAAGGAAAGGAAAGGAAAGGAAAGGAAAGTATACTGAAAACTGTAAGAAGGAAAGGAAAGGAAAGGAAAGGAAAGGAAAGGAAAGGAAAGCTCTGCACATGAAAACAGAGGGAAAGGAAAGGAAAGGAAAGGAAAGGAAAGGAAAGGAAAGCTTGTTTCCTGAGATGAAGTGGAAAGGAAAGGAAAGGAAAGGAAAGGAAAGGAAAGGAAAGGGAGGGGAAACGCCCAACGAGGAAAGGAAAGGAAAGGAAAGGAAAGGAAAGGAAAGGAAAGCTCATCTAACCACCTGGGAAGGAAAGGAAAGGAAAGGAAAGGAAAGGAAAGGAAAGGAAAGGACGGGTTCAATCATTTGTCGGAAAGGAAAGGAAAGGAAAGGAAAGGAAAGGAAAGGAAAGTACGGCTGTATGGCTCTCTTAATGGACACGGCACAGTTCATTTTTTATTCATTCATTCCTCTACCGGACACTTAAATAACTTCCAGCGATTAACTAGTGTAAGAGAGACCCTGATGAACACTCTTCTATACAGGTCTAGTTTGGAAAGGAAAGGAAAGGAAAGGAAAGGAAAGGAAAGGAAAGAAAAAAAAAGAGAGAGAGAAGGAAAGGAAAGGAAAGGAAAGGAAAGGAAAGGAAAGGAAAGGTTGAGGGTTTTGATGCTGGGGAAAGGAAAGGAAAGGAAAGGAAAGGAAAGGAAAGGAAAGCCACTGCACACAAGGCTCCGGGAAAGGAAAGGAAAGGAAAGGAAAGGAAAGGAAAGGAAAGCTGAACCCCCTCCCCCCCCAGGAAAGGAAAGGAAAGGAAAGGAAAGGAAAGGAAAGGAAAGCACTCTCACAGGCCCTCCTGGGAAAGGAAAGGAAAGGAAAGGAAAGGAAAGGAAAGGAAAGTCAGGCCCCTGGGTGTGCTGGGAAAGGAAAGGAAAGGAAAGGAAAGGAAAGGAAAGGAAAGGCTCCGTCAATGACGGTGGCGGAAAGGAAAGGAAAGGAAAGGAAAGGAAAGGAAAGGAAAGACTGCCCTTGGCACAAATGTGGAAAGGAAAGGAAAGGAAAGGAAAGGAAAGGAAAGGAAAGCTGGTTAGGAATGATGGAGAGGAAAGGAAAGGAAAGGAAAGGAAAGGAAAGGAAAGGAAAGGAGCCGACACACCAAGCAGGGGAAAGGAAAGGAAAGGAAAGGAAAGGAAAGGAAAGGAAAGATCACGACGGCCTGAGTGGGGGAAAGGAAAGGAAAGGAAAGGAAAGGAAAGGAAAGGAAAGCAGCTCCGTCCGCCCTTCCAGGAAAGGAAAGGAAAGGAAAGGAAAGGAAAGGAAAGGAAAGGATTCCACGCCTCAGAAATAGGAAAGGAAAGGAAAGGAAAGGAAAGGAAAGGAAAGGAAAGGCGCCAGCACACAGGACGGCGGAAAGGAAAGGAAAGGAAAGGAAAGGAAAGGAAAGGAAAGGCCACTGGGGACCCATCAGCGGAAAGGAAAGGAAAGGAAAGGAAAGGAAAGGAAAGGAAAGTCCCAGAGCCAGCATCAATTTCCTGGGCAGCCAGGCCTCTCTGGCAGGTTGAGGGAGATGGCACAGGCAGAACTGATCAGAGCCTTGTGCACAGGGACCCTCCCCTGGGGACATTCAGAGGCTGCCCAAGGACCCCTCATGCACCCTCACGCTCAGGGCCCCAGCCAGGCCTGCTGGCTACTCTGCCTGGGTGATGGGCCAGAGAAAGGGGCAGAGCAGTCCTTAACCAAGTCTGCCCTGCTCTAGGGAGCTGGGCTTCACCCTGGAAAGGAAAGGAAAGGAAAGGAAAGGAAAGGAAAGGAAAGGGTCGGTTAAGCATCCGATTGGAAAGGAAAGGAAAGGAAAGGAAAGGAAAGGAAAGGAAAGAGCTCCACGCTCCATGTGGAGGAAAGGAAAGGAAAGGAAAGGAAAGGAAAGGAAAGGAAAGTCTCTCTCCAAAGTGAATAAGGAAAGGAAAGGAAAGGAAAGGAAAGGAAAGGAAAGGAAAGCAAGGGTGCAACTTGGTGGCGGAAAGGAAAGGAAAGGAAAGGAAAGGAAAGGAAAGGAAAGAATATCAGGAAAGCTCACAAGGAAAGGAAAGGAAAGGAAAGGAAAGGAAAGGAAAGGAAAGCCAGCAACTCTGGACCAGCAGGAAAGGAAAGGAAAGGAAAGGAAAGGAAAGGAAAGGAAAGCCCCGCCACTCCCTGATGCCGGAAAGGAAAGGAAAGGAAAGGAAAGGAAAGGAAAGGAAAGTGCCACCACAATGGTTTCTTGGAAAGGAAAGGAAAGGAAAGGAAAGGAAAGGAAAGGAAAGTCCCAACATCTGCCTGGGGCGGAAAGGAAAGGAAAGGAAAGGAAAGGAAAGGAAAGGAAAGCCGGCTCCCCTCCTGTTACGGGAAAGGAAAGGAAAGGAAAGGAAAGGAAAGGAAAGGAAAGGCACTTCTCAAGGTTCTCCTGGAAAGGAAAGGAAAGGAAAGGAAAGGAAAGGAAAGGAAAGCTCAGTAATTAAAAGTAGAGGGAAAGGAAAGGAAAGGAAAGGAAAGGAAAGGAAAGGAAAGTTAATACATGACAGCGAGTGGG